GTGCCATTTGTTAAGTTAAATTAGACACCTCTACAGTGAATATTTATTTTAACCAAACTTTAATAAAGTAAATAGTCATTCAGTCTTCAAAACTAGAATTTTATAAATTTAATGTGTCTCTATTTTGTATAATCAGACCTCTTGATCGATTTAAATGTTCCACTAATTTAGTGTAAATTACATTTTTTTTCTTTGGAATTTGCATATTTTTGTCAAAGTTGTCAATTACATGTGTATCAAATGTTACAATGAATTTGTAAACTCAAAGCTTTTTTTGTGTATCAGTTAAATGATTATATTTTAGAATGTTAATCTATTATGTGAATTCAATGTGCCATACAAATATAACATGTGTACATGTATTTCCATTTGTATCACTTTTTTTTGTATCACCATTTCGTAATAATTCTTAATTGTTACATTTTTATCAGGAGAAAAAAATATTTGAGCCGCGTCACAACAAAACCAACATAATGGGTTTGCGACCAGCATGGATTCAGACCAGCCTGCGCATCCATGCAGTCTGATCAGGATCCATGCTATTCGCTTACAAAACCTATTACAAGTAGTGAAACGGATAGCGAACAGCATGGATCCTGATCAGACTGCGCGGATGCGCAGGCTGGTCTGGATCCATGCTGGTCGCAAATCCATTATGTTGGTTTTGTCATGACACGGCTCATTTCTATTTAGTAGTATAGTAAAAGTAAAACCATTGTTTTAATGTGTTATAAGAGTGTGTTTGGTTAGAGAAAATACTCAATTTAAATGACCTATACTTACTTAATATTAAATATATATTTGAATTATTAACTAAATGTGTGTTATAATTGAGCCGTACCATGACAAAACCAACATAATGCGTTTGCGACCAGCATGGATCCAGACCAGCCTGCGCATCCGGGCAGTCTGATCAGGATCCACGCTGTTCGCTATCAGTTTCTCTACTTGTTATAGGGTATGTAAGCGAACAGCATGGATCCTGATCAGACTGCGCGGATGCGCAGGCTGGTCTGAATCCATGCTGGTGGCAAACCCATTATTTTGGTTTTGTCATGATGCGGCTCATTTTATTTTCCAACTATCCCTTTATTCCCAGTATGTGTCTGATATAAATCAAAGTCGAGAGATTATACAGCAAGCTGCCATACCATTTCAAAACATATTTTTCTAGATTATAATTAAATGTATTTCATTTTTAACAGATGTTTCAAAACTAAAACAAGGTGTTCGTTCGATGAATGACCTTACTTGAATTTTGTTATTGGACTATTACATTCCATTGATAATGTTAAGTTTAGAAAATATTTTGAAAATTGGAAAATCTGTATCTAAGCAAGTGATGTTTAAGTTACTTTGTAATTTATGTACATATATTTGCTTAATATAGTTTACATGTATTTATAGTTCAAACAGATTGATAAAGAAAATATATATATTATTCAAATCAGTGCTTTGATAAATCAGAATGTTTGCAGGCAAATAAAAATTGTTCTAACTCCATAACATTTGTTTTGTCCTTCTTTCCTCCTGATTTACATGAAGACCAGTATTAATTCAGCAAGAGGCTGAGCAATAAACAAGGGTTGTCACTAGCACAGTATGCTTGACTCACAAATGTCAGTGATTAATAAAACAAGAGCCTTGATAATAAGGGAAAAAGAGAGATTTCATTTAAAATACCAACATAACTACCATTCTTGAAAATTGACATACAATTTTTTATACCCAAAGACATGTGTTAAGTTTAAATTAAAAACCTTCAGCAGTTTGGAAAATTGATAATGCATGCAAAACTTAAATCACCATTTTTATTATTTCACAAAGAGTCATAATTCAGTCAGAAATCCGTGTTACAGCTTTTGGGCCCTTGCATAATCATCTCCAATGTGTGATAATTTCAAGCAAATATCTGTAATGCCTAATTGTTGATGAGATAAATATCTTTAATGCCTACTTGTTGATGACATAAATATCTGTAATGCCTACTTGTTGATGACATAAATATCTGTAATGCCTACTGGTTGACGAGACAAATATCTGTAATGCCTACTTGTTGATGCCTACTTGTTGATGAGATAAATATCTTTAATGCCTACTTGTTGATGAGATAAATATCTGTAATGCCTACTTGTTGATGAGATAAATATCTGTAATGCCTACTTGTTGATGAGATAAATATCTGTAATGCCTACTGGTTGATGAGACAAATATCTGTAATGCCTACTTGTTGATGAGACAAATATCTGTAATGCCTACTTGTTGATGAGATAAATATCTGTAATGCCTACTTGTTGATGAGACAAATATCTGTAATGCCTACTTGTTGATGAGACAAATATCTGTAATGCCTACTTGTTGATGAGATAAATATCTTTAATGTCTACTTGTTGATGACATAAATATCTGTAATGCCTACTTGTTGATGAGACAAATATCTGTAATGCCTACTTGTTTATGAGATAAATATCTGTAATGCCTACTTGTTGATGAGACAAATATCTGAAATGCCTACTTGTCGATGAGACAAATATCTGTAATGCCTATTTGTTGATGAGATAAATATCTGTAATGTCTACTGGTTGATGAGACAAATATCTGTAATGCCTACTGGTTAATGAGACAATATCTGTAATGCTTACTGGTTGATGAGACAAATATCTGTAATGCCTACTTGTTGATGAGACAAATATCTGTAATGCCTACTTGTTGATGAGATAAATATCTGTAATGCCTACTGGTTGATGAGACAAATATCTTTAATGCCTACTTGTTGACGAGACAAATATCTGTAATGCCTACTTGTTGACGAGACAAATATCTGTAATGCCTACTGGTTGACGAGACAAATATCTGTAATGCCTACTTGTTGATGAGATAAATATCTGTAATGCCTACTGGTTGATGAGACAAATATCTGTAATGCCTACTTGTTGATGAGACAAATATCTGTAATGCCTTATTGATGAGACAAATATCTGTAATGCCTAATTGTTGATGAGACAAATATCTGTAATGCCTAATTGTTGATGAGACAAATATATGTTATGCCTAATTGTTGATGAGACAAATATCTGTTATGCCTACTTGTTGATGAGACAAATATCTGAAATGCCTTGTTGATGAGATATGAAATTTTACAAGAAGTTGCATAAAAAACTTTAACCAAGTCTTATGCTGCCTAGACTGACATATAGGGAATGTGAGTAGAAATGGCACATTATTTTTCAAATATAAAAGCTATGAGGAGATATGCTGACAGAAATCTGGTAGATGTACGTTAAGACTTATCAAGTAATTCAGCAGGAGCTGTGTGTTTATGTGTGCCATCTTGACTCGTCTCACAACAGGGCAAGGAGTGGTGGACACAGTGACCCAGTGGTGACACTGTTTAATTAACTGTTTAATTACAAATAACTAGAAATGTGTCCATAGGACACGGGTGCCCCCACCGCGCCACTGTTCAGTCAATCTTTTTACTAAGTCAAGGGAAATAACTCTACAAATACTGGATAAATCCACAAGCGAAACCCCAGGTGCAAATCTAAATATGCTGAGCAACCTGCCCATTAGGTTTAATGACTATGTCAAATCCTTTTTGAGTAGCATGCGACAGAAGTTGAAAATTGCAAAAAATTTCTAAGTGAAGGGCAATAACTCTAAAAATACTAAATAAATCCAGACAAAAATACCTGGTGCACAACTGCACATGCTGATCAATATTCCTGTAAAGTTACATGACTCTAGGTCAAATACTTTTTGAGTTACATGCGACACAATTTGAAAATTGCAAAATTTTACTAAGTCAAGGGCAATAACTCTGAAAATACTAAAAATATCCAGAAGAAAATACCCAGGTGCACAACTACACATAATGATCAACATTCCTGTAAAGTTTCATGACTCTAGGTCAAATACTTTTTGAGTTACGTGCGACACAAGTTGAAAATTGCAAAATTTTACTAAGTCAAGGGCAATAACTCTGAAAATACTAAAAATATCCAGACGAAAATACCCAGGTGCACAACTACACATGCTGATCAACATTCCTGTAAAGTTTCATGACTCTAGGTCAAATACTTTTTGAGTTACATGCGACACAAGTTGAAAATTGCAAAATTTTACTAAGTCAAGGGCAATAACTTTGAAAATACTAAAAATATCTAGACGAAAATACCCAGGTGCACAACTACACATGCTGATCAACATTCCTGTAAAGTTTCATGACTCTAGGTCAAATACTTTTTGAGTTACGTGCGACACAAAAGTGAACGGACGGACGGAGGGAAGGACGGACGGACAAGGGTAAATCTAAATGCCCGCCACTATCGTGGGGGCACAAAAAGTTTGAGAGTTGGATGATTTTCACTTTACTCCAACCCGCACATTAATCCATTTAAAATTCATAACAATGTTTTTGGACAAGACTTTAAGAACAAAGTTCCATATACTTACACCTTGTATGTTGGTGAACCAGTTGTTTCTACTGGAACAGAATCTAAGGCACTATTCTTCAAAAATATAAAATATACTAACAGTATTGTGGTGTGAGTTTCCCTGTATGTGGCTCCAGTAATATCACACATAGAACAGGGAATAACCAAGAGGTGGTTAATACCTGTACATGGTAGGGAATCACGTAACTTTTGTGGTAATAACTTGACAAGTACTGATAATATGGCAGACTGAAACTGTAGATTAGTCTACTGATCACAAGAAATCATACTGATAGATGGAGCAATTTCTAAATATTGTATTGTGCCAATCTGGCAATCCCCCTTTTATTTCAAAGGGTGAGAAAAAAAATAATTTTATACATTTTATGACGTTCAAAAATATCTATTTCAACAAATTAATAGATTTCATAATCAATATATATTCATAAAATAACAAGTGTTGCTTCCTCTATAGACAGACTGCATATAGGAATTTTCACATTTAAACCCCAAAATATAGGAATTTTCACATTTAAACCCCAAAATATAGGAATTTCCACATTTAAACCCCAGAATATAGAATCCAAAATATAGAATATTGGAATTCCAAAATAAAGAATATAGGAATTTTCACACTTAAACCAAAATAAAGAACAAAGGAATTTCATATTGAATCCCCAAAATATAGAATATAGGAACTTTCATTTATAGAACCAAAATTTAGAATATAGGAATTTTCACCTTTAAACCCCAAAATACTCAATATAGAAAATTTCATGTTTAAACCAATAAAATATTGAAATTTTCACATTTAAATTTTAAACTCAAAAAATATAGAAAATAGGAATTTTTGCATTTAAACAAAAAAACAACAACAACCTTTTAAGTATGAAATATAGTTCTATGTTGAAAGTTCAGCAATACAGGAAAAATTTTAAAAATATAGGGGTTAGCTGACAGCCTGTAAATATGACCTATAGTAAGAACTGATCATTCGAATCTCTATCTATGCAACTATTGGAAAAAATTTGAACAAGTCAGTCCTGTGTATTCAATAAAATACATATATACGCATTGATTAAGTTTACAAAATGAAAATGTCATTGCACTATTATATTTAACATACACGTACACGTATATTATCTTTCTATACTAAGGTAAATGCTTTTAATTTATAATTGCTGGACTATGCAAACATATTTCACTATTATTTGGAAGTTTCAACCTGAAACAAGATTATCTAGAATTTTCTGAACACTTGTTTATCTAGAATTTTCTAAACATTTATGCAAAAAAAAATTTGCAAAAAAATTAATGTTAATAACATAAAAATGAAAAATCAAACCCCATGATTATTGCTATTTTTCTGTAACATTTGCCTTTTTCTTGGCATAAAATCTTAACAGTTACACATAACTATAACAATTTGTCTTGACACATATAATGGAATTCATCGAAATTCTTCGTGTTCTAATAATAAAAATTCTTTCATAGTTGTAGGTAATGGTAACACATCGATTTTTCGAAGTCTTTTTGGGCCCATACTGTTCCTTATAACACATCTGCAGTAATGCTGCAAACTCCGTGGTCCTTTTAACATTTCTTTGTACCAAGCGAACTTTGCTTGCTGGTTTTCTGACCACAATCTTGCCATGTTTATTTGATGCTGTCTGATGTCTTGATGATCCTGACGAATAAGGTGTACGGGGGGTGGAGAATGTAGGGGCGGGGGCATCATTAATGGATTTTGGTTAGCATGAAATGCCCCGAGCCCCAGCGCATCAAGACTTGGTAGGTGAGTCATACATTTAGCTATTGCACTGAGTATTGTTGTATCCCTATGGCGACCTCGGAGTTCACTAACAAGGACACTGTCACCATGTTTGTTTCGTATGTTATAGTTAGCACCGTATGCTAGAAGTAACACCGCCACATCAGGCCGTCTTTCTTGATGTTGTGCATCATTGAAGCATACATAATGTAGTGGCGTAAAACAATCTGCAAATTAGAAGCAATATATATATGTATACCCCTATATAAATATTATATCAAATATTTTGCAAAGTATTTGTGTATTTGATTTTCTTCCAAAAAAAAAAAAAAAAATTGTGGATTGCCAGGTTAAATTAATCAAATTTATAAAATCTAGAAAATATTGCAATGTTGATAAAATCGTACATACAATATTATTACATTTGCCTGTCTAAGAAAAGAAATGGCCTTTGGCCAACTTATCCACTGATATAAATTTTTTTTTTTTTGAAGAAAATGACTCAGTAGAGTTATGGCCCTTGCTCTACATAAACATTAACACTGATAAACGTATAAAAAAAAATTAACAAAAAATCAATAAACTGGATAAAAAATTAAATGAAAAATCCAACAAAAAGTAACAAATGACAATAAAAACTGCGACAACTACGAAAAATTTTTCTCAAAAACTGAAAAACACTCACAACATTTTCATGTGATATAATTATCCCCTTACAAGATAATAACTGGGCCATATTTATAATAAAGGCAGTAAACAGTTTTTTCATTTTCCGGTCTGAATGATACATATAGATAAAACAAAATGTAAAAACATACTTGAGGTTTCTGGGAGATTCACATTTGTGTTGTAGCCTTTCACAATGAGAGATTTCACTATTTCTATATTGAAGTTTTCCCCAGCACAGATGGCTAGATGTAGCGGAGAGAAGCCTGCATGATTGAGATGATTCACATCTGATCCTCTTTCCAACAGTTTCACTATACAGTCCAGAAGATTTTTGCGCACACATTCATGAAGAGGGGTATCTCCTATCAAATATAATAAATAACATTGCGAAAATGAACATTATTTTATGACAAGCTTAAAGTTGAAACATGTATCATCTTCAAAAATTCTACTGGGTTATTTAACATTGTAACACAAACAAAAATATATGACTGAGAACTTCAGAATTAAACATTTAGTTAACTTACAGTAATTGCTTTGCATCTGAAGATTAACTTTTAGTACTGGAGCAAATTATTACAATTATAAAGTGTTTTTCTTCTGTTAGTCATAATAAAATATAATGCCTGCAAGAGAGGATGGAAAGAAAAATAAGTCAAAGAAAGTCAAAAACAAATTACATATTTTTTTTTCATTTGTTTCTGCAAGCTTTCATATATCATTCGATGAAGGTCTTGACCAATGACTTATAAGCAAAATTTCAGATCATTCCAGAATAATAATTTTAATTGGAAAAAACACCCTAAAATGAAAAGCGCTTGAACTCCTTTTACTCAAACTGGACTAAAAAACACACAGACACACAGAAATACTTAGCGTGTATTCACAATTCATATTATGCTTTTATAAATTTTGATGGAAAATTAAGCTAAAATGACTTTCTTCATTAACCATTTTGTGCCCTATTACTGACAATGTCATATTCTACATAGTCCTAAAAACTTGTGACTGCCTGTCTTGTTGTTGTAAGTAGTTTATAAATGCTAGCTTAAATAACAGTTCCTTTATCTGTCAATCTATTTGTAAACACTGCAAAACAACTTTTCATATAATTTAGCATATAGCTGGAGGTGTGCTGTTTGAATATTATAATTATAGCATTTCATACCTGTATGTTTCTCTGGGAGTGACAAAATATCTTTCCATATAGCATTATCTAGATGAGCATGAACACACTGGGCTAATCCTTGCTGTGCGGCTAAATACAAACTGGTTCTACAACGCTCGTCCACGGCATTGTAGTCTGCTCCATTCCAGATCAGTAACTTGACACATCTTACATGATTATTTGCTGATGCTAGATGTAGTGGTGTTGTTCCTCCAGGGTGTGGAACAGCTGTGACAAAAAATACTTTATAAATTAGCAACTGTTCAATTATATATTAACTGAATTATTATATAAATTGATTTGTGTAATATTGACTTTTATGATTCAATACTAAATGAATTGCAATCCTGAACATTTTTTAAATTAATAATGTTATGACTATCAGGTTGTGTGAAATCTAATGTTAATGTGTTATGTACCATGTAAAGTTACCCCCTGTAAAACTACAATGGAAAGGTGTTCTATGTATGTGACATTAATGTTGCATATAACTATTATGCAGCTTTTCATTTCATTTGCATTACCTGTATATGAACCATGTTTAGAGTATTTTGTACTAATGTTACAATCAGCACCTCCTTTCAGTAACAATGCCAGGCATTCTTCATGCCCAAGCTCTGCTGCAGTATGTAGTGGTGTCACATCAAATCTATCTTTAGCATTCACATTAGCTGTACAATGAGAAATATAAAAATAGTCATATAACATAATACAAGTCATGTAAAATTATCATTAACCTGTAAGTTTAATTGTTAAAAAGCCATTTCTTGCTATGAGTTCTTTCATGAAATTTACACTTCTTTGACATTTCAAACATCTATTAGTATTTTACTAAATACTATGTATTTATCTGTTTTCATGGAAAAGAAAGTAAGTTCCGGTTAATTCCTTCAGTTCTTCTATAACACAATGTAATGGAAATTCAATTTTATCCACCAATAGATCTAATATATCAAGAACCAAAGCAAAATTAGATTTATTTTTAAAAAATCTGAATTGAGTACATCAAAATCAGAATGAATGACAGACTATTCACTTTGTATTAATAAAAATAAAAATTGGGAAGGAAGTGTCTGTTTTTTTTGCAAATATGTTGACGATTTTTGCCCAAAATAGGGAGAAAACCGTCAGGGAGGAAAAGTCAGGGTAGGAACTGGTATTGGTATTATATTTACATAACATATTTTATTACTTAGCGTTATTTCATACAAATTGCTATTACCTTTGTAAGTCCCATAGATACACCATTAACTATTTGTGAAAATGAATATAATAGACAAAAATATCTTAAAGCAGGTAACTGCCTCGTGTAGGGTACTTCATTGTCATGTGATAGTCGTATAACAATCACTTCATTGGCTAAACTAAACAGTAGAATTTTAGAGATACTTGAAGGGGTTTGAGATTAGGTTCTTTATTTTAAGAGGCCATGTCAGTTTTAAAACAGAGGGTTGTGCTTTTCCAAGATGGAAATAGAGCTTTTTTAATTGTTGAATTTCAGTCGAATTTTACAGAAATGTTACATAAAGATGAAAGTGTAAATATGTAAAGAATTTTTATACGGGGAAGTCAAAGACCGGGCCCGCGAAGCGGGTCCGGGCTTTGGCTTGCCCGGCTATAGACTACACGTGTATATTTAAAAGAAAATCAAATAAAAAACAATTTAAAAATATATAGAATTCTATACCTATTAATGAAATTTTCAGTGTCAGTTCTAGTCGGGCGCCGCCATTTACAATGTAACTCAATGATAATTCCGATAACCGAACAAATCTCAACTTTTCGGATAAATGGAAAGAATGAAAGGAATTTTTCCGTTCATAGGCATTGCCTAATTTCATATTATTTACATTAAAAGACCTCTTTAATGCTTAGAGGTTTGAGAACTGGTTAGTCCATGATAAAGGGAGAAAAATTATAGTCTGACCGGAATTGTTCACTGAATCAGATGACCAGGGCTCACGCTGTCGGTCGCCATAGTCGCCATTTGCGATTATTTTATAAGATTGGCGATTATTTTTGCATTTTGGCTACAAAATCTGGCGATTATTTTTTACTTCCAACAGTGTTTATATAAGGTGTAAAAATCGATAATGAATGCAGTAGACCCAATTAACACCAGCGGGGTGCATTTAATTGAGTGTCAACTTTTTACCGGTCAGGTCACGTGCTGCTAACTATATTGCCCGAGGAGATAAAATACATGCGAGATGTATAATTGTATTAAGTACTTTGAAGATATTGTCCAGCATTTCTAATAGCCATCAAATATCCGTCAATTAGCCACAAAAATCGTTTAAAATTGATAAACTGGAAATTGACTTACCCAAAATTTTCCGCGAATTCCAGTAATTGCAAATTTTGATTTTTTTTTTGCTTTAAGCTACTTGACTAAATCGCCAGTGGAAAACAATGGTAAAATATTTAAAAAGTATTAAATTCCAAACAACTATTTGCACAACAACCAAAATTGTGAATATTTCTTCAGAAAACAGGAAAAATCCGATTGTCACATATTTCGCGACACCGATAATTTTGATATTTATTTAAAGGTGAAATAAGCTATGTTATGTTTAAAAATCTTTACTTCTATGGCAGAAAATTTGTATTACATTGGTGATGATGATATTTTTCAGTAAATTATTCAGAAAAAAGGCTGCATTCTGTGAATGAGTTTGCAAACTTGTGTTATTTCTATAGGCTAATATGACCTAGATCTACTCCAGTTCTGTGTGAAATGTGGAAATTGACAGTGGTTATAGCTGACAAAATTTGATTAGAACAAACAAAAAAGTTGTCTGATAACAGCATTATGTAAAGTTATAATGAATCTTTAATATTATTGTTATACAGTAATTATACTAATTATAACGTTTTTATTCTGTTCTATAATAACAATTAAAGTTGTGGTTCTATTTAAAAAAAGGTAGTTATCAATATACACAAATGTATCAGTTTATTTGAGAATCCTTTTAAAACTGAAAGATATAAATGTTTATTTAATCAACTGCTTATGTTGTTAATCACTAATTCGTGAATAGTCCGCTGAACTTTTGGCTATTATTTTTTTAAGTTGAAATTATTGGCTATTATTTTATTTGAGCCAGTGTGAGCCCTGGATGACAACAACTTTAAAAAGGGTGTGCCTGTTTGTTTGTTTTTATTTATAATTGAAAAACACCACGTTTTTAAAATACTGACCTCCTTTGCTGATAAACAATTTTAAAAGTTCTGGAAAACCTCTTGCTGTTGCAAAATGAAGTGGAGTCATGTAATTTTCAGATTGGTAGAACAGTTGTCGGTTGTACTCTGT